CCCTGCCCCCCCCCGCCGGCTGGGCAAGCGGCAGCAGGGCATAGCCCCCACTCCAAGTGCTGCTGCACCTGCATCCCACATCCCTCCTCCCGTGCCCCACTCCCTGGCTGGGCAGCTTGTCCCAGCCCCAATCCCTCCCTCCCCCATTCCCCTTGTCTCCCCCCTCTGCCCACCACCATGGATTTACCAGCTGGAGGCAGCTGTGTCCAGCATGGTGAGGACTGCTGCCTGTTTAGTCTATGGCCGAATCTCTGAAGTGGTGTCAAATCTTTTCTGAGTCAATTCGGAGGCTTCTGATTCGATTCAGAGTTTTTAATAGGACTCCCGATTCGATTTGGATTAGGAGATTCAGTTGCCGAATCAGGCCGAATCTCCTACGAATTGAATTGGCTACCTAGCTTTGCACAGCCCTAACACACACATATATCTATCCCATGCAATGCACTTGGTATTCATAAAAACAGTAGCAGTCTGGTGGTTAGAACAGAGGGACTAAGCATCAGGAAGACTAGCTTCTATTCCTGGCTGTGACAATGGCTTGCCATGTGATTTTGTGTCACTTAATTAGGGACATATTTTCAGGTGAATCTGTGCCTTCACATACATACACATGCAAACTTCATCCTTGCACAACAGTGGTTCATGCACCTATGGCTGTTATGTATTCCAAGCTTATGAACCTCTGCAAGTCCTGGTCTACTTAGAGGAAAAGAGTAAGCAGTGGCATAAGTCCTGGTGTTTGCACATACAACGTGCCATTGTGCACAGTTCTGGACACCACCCATTGGAAACTGATGCCATTAACATTCTAAGTCCCGTTCCTTCAAATAGGCAAGAGAGATGGTTTCCTGGCCCTGGGAGCAATGTTCCCTCTAAGGAGCAGCGGTCCATGAGCACACCACCTCAGTCTGGTTTGGGACACTTACCAAAGGGGGCTGGGGCCAGGGGCTGGAGGCTGGAGCTGCAGGCTGGGGCCGGAGGCTGGGGGCCAGAGGCTTGGGCCAGGGGCCAGAGCCGGAAGCCAGGGGCTGGAGCTGGTGGCTGGGGCAAGGGGCCGGGAGCTGGGAACCAGGGCCAGGAGCTGGGGCCAGG